GATGCATCTTTGGATGCACGACAAGGTATGGCTGGCCTTGCTGGCTGTGGTCTGGCATTGGCGGCTCATGTTCATCTCCAAGATCCCTTTCTGCCTCTGTGCTTTCAAGGAGGGAACTCCCCAGCCTGTATATATGCTGTAGGTTCCTTCTCCCAAGGTGCAGCACCCTGCATTTATCTACGTTGAATCCCATCCTAGTCTCATCTGCCTACTTTCGTAGTCTGTCTAAATCTATTTGCAGCCTCTCTCTCCCTTCAAGTGTGTCCACCTCGCCCCACATCTTAGTGTCATCAGCAAACTTGGACAGCGTGCTTTCCACCCCCTTGTCCAAGTCGCTGAAGAAGATGTTAAACAGTGCGGGCCCCAGGACTGAGCCCTGGGGTACACCCCACTGCTCACATCTTGCCAGGTTGAGTACAACCCATCCACCACTACTCTCTGGGTGCACCCCATCAGCCAATTTTTTACCCATCCAACTGTGTAGGCACCAATGCCACAGTCGCTTAATTTATTGATGAGGATGGGGTGAGAGACAGTGTCAAAGGCCTTCTTAAAGTCTAGAAAGACTTCGTCCACGGCGACATCATCATCCAAGGATTTAGTTACTTGGTCATAAAAAGCAATTAGGCTGGTCAGGCAGGACCTGCCTTTGATGAATCCATGGTGATTGCCCCTGAGCATGATCTCCCCTGCAGGCCCCCCACAGATGTGCTCCTTGATGATTCTCTCCAAGATCTCCCACACCACCGAGGTGAGGCTTACAGGCCTATAGTTACTTGGGTCCTCCTTCCTCCCTTTTTTGAAAATTGGGACATTAGCCAGTTTCCAATCCCCTGGCTCCTGGCCAGATGACCACGAATGCTCATACAGCTGGGCCAAGGGCTCTCTGATGACCCCTGCCAGCTCCCTCAATTAGTATAATAGGATGTTAGAATCCCTATTTCATGATGATATGTTTGAGCTTTAACATATCTTAAATTAAAACTATCTTTATATAGGTTTATTTTTCTAAAAAAAGCATCTTAACAAAAAAAACCACGATTAAATAATCGCATTTAAATAAAAAAATCTATTTTTTTATTTTTTTTTTTAAAAAATCATTAATTTTTATCCACCCTGCACAGAGTAGCTGTGGGGACAGCTTGCCCTCCTCCAGGGAGGAAGGTGTCCTGTTGTGCATCAGCTGTCTCTTGGGTGAGTTAGGGATGATGAGGTTGAAGAGAGCTAGGAATCAGGTCCAAATACTCAGCCAGAATGGTGGTAGCTCTACTGGGAGGTCCTAAGAGTTGGGGGACATGAAAGGAAGTCTTCATAGAGACTCCACCTAGAGCAGGGGTTTTCAACCTTTTTGAATCAGTGTACCTCCAGCG